GTCCTCTTGGATAAATCATACCAAGTGAGTCTTAAGAACAAGTAAATGCAGCTTACATTCATCAAGGGAACAACCCTTATTCCAGTACTTACAATCCGAGGTGGAAAAATCATCCAAACTTTGCATGGAGAAATCAAGGAGACGGTGCAAACCTTCCTCAAACTCAAGGTTACCAAGCAAAATATGTTCCCTTACATCTCCAAAATCAAAATCAGAATTCTCAAGGTTACCGTCCTTTATTCTATCCTCAAAATGTGAATTAATACTCTCATCCTCAAGCATCAAATTCTCAATCCTATTCTCATCCTCAAGTATAAAATTCTCAATCTTACTCTAATCCAAATCAAGCACCTCCTAAGAGTTTCACTTTTGAGGAAAAGGTCTTGCAAGCCTTAGGTGATCTTCGAAAAGATAATCAATTGTTTCATTCTCACTCTCAATCAATTGCAAAGCTTGAGGCTCAAATTGAGCAATTGGCTAATTCTTTAAATGTGTGAGAGAAAGGTAAGTTGCCTAGTCAAACTGAGACCAATCTTAAGGGGCAATTTATGGCACAAGCAAGTCCTTTATTAGAATTTTTTGGAAATGAGCAAGTTCAAGCAATTACTACCTTGAGGAGTGGTAGGAAAGTGGATAACAAGGTAGAGGTACCTAAGGAGGATAATGAACTGAAGCAACCAAGTGGTAACATCCGTCCCATTCTAAATCATATTCCTATTTCTTTAGATGCTAGTGGTTCCAAAAAGGAAATTCCTTCATCTTCATCATCATCTCCCCAATTAAAGAAGCCTTATGAGCCAAAAGCTCCATTTCCTCAAGATTTGAGAGAGACTTCATCATTTGGGAGACAAGAAGGAAAAATTCATGATATGATGGAAGTGTTTAAACAAGTAAAAATCAATCTTCCTCTTCTAGATGCAATTAGGCAAATTCCACCATATGCAAAGTTCTTGAAGGACTTGTGCACAAAAAAGAAGAAGAGCAAGGGAAGGGACTTTAAGAAAGTGCTTTTAACGGAACAAGTGAGTTCCATCATTCTGTCTAACACTCCTCCTAAGTTTAAGGATCCGGGTGCTTAGACCATTTCTTGTGTTATTGGAAACCAAGAGATTCGTAGAGCTCTCCTTGATTTAGGTGCAAGTATTAATTTCATTCCATACTCTATTTACTTGCAATTAGGATTAGGGGACTTGAAGCCAACATCGGTGGTAATCCAACTAGCTGATAGATTAATTAAGAAATCGAGGGGAATTGTCGAGGATATCTTGATTAAGGTTGATAAATTTTATTTTTCGGTTGATTTTGTGGTACTAGATATTGAGCCAGTCCCTAATCTCACCAATCACATTCCAGTCATCCTAGGAAGACCATTCCTTGCCACCACCAATGCCACCATTAATTGTAGGTCCGGCATTATGGACATCTCTTTTGGCAACATGATGGTTAAGCTTAATGTTTTCAATGCAAGTCAACATCCCACAGATAAAGACAAGTGTTTCCTAGTGGATGTCTTGGATGAAACCATAGAGGAGACTTTTCCCTTTATTCTCTCTAAGGACCCTCTTGAGGCGTGCCTTCGTGAAATGTTTGAAAATTGTGGTTTTGACACAGAAGGATCCATAAGTGAGGTAAATGCTTTGATGGACTCTGTGGCCACTTTAGATTACCCACCTTGGAAAAGCAAGAAAGAACCTCTTCCTTCACTCTCTAATACTCTACCAGTTCCTTCTCTCATCTCTCCTCCTACTCTTGAGCTTAAACCTCTTCCATCTGATCTCAAATACGCCTTCTTAGGCCCAAAAGAGACTCTTTCGGTCATCATTGCTTCAAATCTTGAAAATGACCAAGAGAATGATATTTTGAAAGTGCTTAAAGCTAACAAAGAAGCCATTGGATGGAGTGTGGCTGACTTAAAAGGCATTGACCCTTCTATTTGTATGCATTGCATACACATGGAAGAAGATGAAAGGCCATTTAGGGATGCTCAAAGGAGATTGAACCCAAATATGAAGGAAGTTGTCATGAAGGAGGTTGTGAAACTTTTAGATGCGGGAATCATATATCCTATCTCTAATTCCAAGTGGGTTAGTCCAACTTAAGTGGTTCCCAAAAAGTCAGGAATCACAGTTGTTGAAAATGATAAGGGTGATCTCATTTCGAAACGCACCGCCACTTCATGGCGTGTCTGCATAGATTACTGAAAGCTGAATTCTGCCACTAGGAAGTCCATTTTCCATTGCCTTTCATAGACCAAATCTTGGAAAGATTGGCTGGGCAACAATACTATTGCTTCCTAGATGGTTACTCGGGGTACAATCAAGTGGTCCTAGATCCATTGGATCAAGAAAGGACCACCTTCACATGTCCTTTCGGTACATTTGCTTATCGACGGATGCCTTTTGGATTGTGCAATGCTTCTGCCACTTTCCAAAGGTGTATGATGTCAATTTTTTTGGACATGGTGGAGAAGTATTTAGAAGTCTTCATGGATGACTTCTCGTTTTTTGGGTCCTCATTTGATTCATGTCTCCAAAATCTCAAAAAAAATGCTTCAAAGATGTCGTGAGACTAATCTTGTGTTAAGTTGGGAAAAGAGCCATTTCATGGTTCAGGAAGGAATCGTGCTTGGACATGTCATCTCTAAAAGAGGAATAGAAGTAGATAGAGCGAAAGTTGAGCTGATTTCTGAATTGTGTCCACCTACTACGATGAGAGAAATCCGCTCCTTTCTAGGACATGCTGGTTTTTATCGTCGGTTCATCAAAGAGTTTAGCAAAATTGCTAGACCCTTGTGCAACCTTCTTGCCAAGGAGACTCTATTTATCTTTGATGAAGCATGCCTAAATGCTTTTCATCAACTTCGCACTCTTCTATCATCCGCTCCCATCATGCAACCTCCAAATTGGTCCTTACCATTTGAGATTATGTGTGATGCTTCCGACTTCGCAATGGGTGTTGTTTTGGGGCAAAGGGTAGGTAAACTACCATATGTTATATACTATGCGAGTAAGACTTTCTCAGGTGCCCAATTGAACTATTCTACCACTGAGAAAGAATTACTTGCCGTAGTATATGCCCTTGATAAATTTCGGTCATATCTCTTAGGATCCAAAGTAATTGTGTTTTTCGATTATGCCGCTCTTAGGCATCTTTTAATGAAAAAGGAAACCAAACCTCGCTTGATAAGATGAATCCTACTTCTTCAAGAATTTGACTTTGAAATCAAGGACAAAAAGGGCTCCGACAATGTCGTTGCCGATCATCTGTCTAGATTAATGATTGAATCTTCTCCAAATCTTGAAATTCATGAATCATTTCTGGATGAACAACTCTTTCAAATCTCAAATGGGAGGTTGCCTTGGTTCGCCGACATTGTTAACTATCTTGTAACCGGCAAACTTCCCATTACTTGGTTAAAACAAGAAAAGGACCGATTCTTTGCTAACATCCGAAAATAATATTGGGAAGATCCCATTTTGTTTCGTTATTGCCCAGATCAAATCATAAGGAGATGTGTGCTGGAAAGTGAAGTTCCGAGCGTCTTTGTGTTTTGTCACACACTTGCTTGTGGTGAGCATTTCAGTGGAAAAAAGACCGCTTTAAAGGTTTTTCAAAGTGGGCTCTTCTGGCCCACTATCCACTGAGATGCCTATAACTTTTGCAAGGTGTGTGTTCGGTGCCAAAATTTAGGATCAATGTCAAAGAGAGACATGATGCCTTTAACTTCAGTCTTCGTAGTTGAAATCTTCGATGTATGGGGCATAGATTTTATGGGACCATTCCCAATGTCTTATGGCTTTCAATACATTCTCGTTGCCGTTGGTTATGTGTCAAAGTGGGTTGATGGCTTGTGCTACGAAAATAAATGACCACTCCATGGTAATTGCATTCGTTAAATCAAATATTTTTACTTGTTTTGGTATGCCAAAGCTATGATAAGTGATGGAGGAAAACATTTCTGTAATCAATTCTTAAAGCAACTTTTCTTGAAATACTCTGTCACACATAAAGTGGGCAAGTCGAAGTATCTAATAGGGAAATCAAGCATATTCTTGAGAAAACTGTCAATCCGACCCGAAAAGATTGGTTAAGAAAATTGAACGATGTCTTGTGGGCTTATCGGACAGCTTACAAGACTCCAATAGACATGTCTCCATATAGACTTGTTTATGGGAAGCCTTGTCATCTTCCGGTTGAGTTAGAACACAAAGCACTTTGGGTAATAAAAAGGCTCAACTTTGATCTTTATAAGGCTGGATAGGATCATTTGCTCCAACTCAATGAGTTAGAGGAATTGAGAAATGATGCCTATGATAGTTCAAAAATTTACAAGGTAAGGACAAAAGCATTTCATGATAAACATATTGTGAAAAAGTCCTTTCAAGCCGATCAAAAGGTTTGGTTATTCAACTCTAGGCTAAAATTCTTCCCTGGAAAGCTTCGAACTAAATGGGAAGGCCCTTATCTAATCATTTCCGTCTCACCTCATGGGGCGATTGAACTTAAAAATCTAAAAAATGAAGGGACTATCAAAGTTAATGGTCAAAGGCTAAAACCATATATTGATGGACAAGCTTTTCAAAGAAATGTGGAATCTGCTCTCTTGGTAGATCCCATTTACTTTGAAGATTGAGAGCATCTCATGTCTTTCTAGCGACGTTAAACACTAGTTGTATCGAGTTTCTCCTTCGTTGCATGTTAATTTACATTTTATTATTATTTTATTTTATTTTATTTTTCTCTTTCCTTTTGTACATTTATGCATTTTTAAATTCCAAAAGAAAAAAATAAATAAATAACAAAATAAAAAAAAATTTTTTTTTTTTTGTACTGGTTAGTTAGGTTGGTGTTTAATTTTATTTTCATTTGTTATTATTATTATATCTCATTTTAGTGTATATATAGTTCTTTTTAGTTTTGCTTTATTAAAAAATATATATATTGAATAATAATAATAATAATAATAATAAAATAAAAAAAATTTGTAATTGGTAGTATAGGTTGGTATTTGATTTTATTTTAATTTTTAGTATTATTATTTTTGTTTTTATTTCTATATATATTTCATTTTAGTATATATATTTTTTCTTTTTAGGATTGCTTAAATTAAAAAATAAAAATAAAAAATAGTACTAGTTAGTATAGGTTGGTAAGTGATTGTATTTCAATTTTATTTATTATTATTATTTTTATTATTTTTATTTTTTATCTATTTTTCATTTTAGTGTATATATTCTTTTTAGTTATTTATTTTATTTATTTTTATTTTTATTTTTAGTGTATATATTTAAAAAAAAAAAAAAAAAACAAAGGATCGATCTCCACAAAGGGATTGATTAATCCCATGCTTGGCAGAGAGCAACAAAAAATTACCCCATGTGGATTGATCCCCCATCATGTGGATCGTTCCATTTTTGCCATGTATCTCTGCTTTCTCATTCCATAGTAAAGGGAAAAGTTTTTGCCTAAAATTATCGATCCCCCACTCTAAAGATCGAGCGCCATGCCCAAACAAAATTCTTTTTCTTTCCCCAAAAATCTCTAAACCCAATTTCATCGTCCAACCCTCACGGTTGGCTCTTTCTTCCGCGGTGTCGTAAGCCTTCAATTCTGGCGCCATGGCTCTCGGCCTTTGCTTTGCTTCGCCGGTTTAAGACTCGGTTCTTTCTTCTTCTCTTCCGGCGGCCTTGATTTCCTTTGTAAAACGTTGTTGGGTGCGATTACAAGGTGGGGTAACCGTTCCTGAAAAATACCAGCGCCGACGGTTAATTTCTTCTCTAGTCACGGTTGGGTTGCTGTTTTTCGGCGATTTCAGCTGGATTTGAAAGGCGTTGTGGCTGGGTCATTCAACGGCGTCGCATCTGGGTTCTTTCCAACGATCGCAGTTGGGTTTTCTCCGGATCGCGGCTGTTCGTCTTTCTGGTGTCGCGGCTATTCGCTGTTCCTTCCGGCGTTTAGATTGGTTTGTTCTTTCCAGTGCTGGCTGAGTTCTTTTCCGGCGATTTTGACTAGCTATTTTCTCCAGCGATTTTAGCTGGATTTTGGCTGGTTCTTCTTTAGATCGCGACTGTTTCTTTTCCAGCGTTGTTTCCTTTCTAGGTCGTCTTCCAGCGTCACATTTGTTCGTCTTTCCGGTGATTTCGGCTTAGTCTCGCCGGCGATCATGGCTGGGTTCTTCTTTGGCCACGATTTGAGACTCGGCCTTCACTTCGCTTAACTTATCCCATGTGATATTTGATGTGAGTTTGCTAGTATGGTTATACAGCTAGGTTTTTGTATCCAAGTTTGGGGGAGACATCTTTCCTAATGGATCATTGCCAGATTTCATAATCTTTGCCATCACGGTATACTCTTTCCATTAATTTTCATTATTCTCATTACACATCGAGGATAATGAATAGTTTAAGTTTGGGGGTAAGGTCATCATAATTCATTCTATTTTAAGTTAAGCTTTAAATGCATGATGAGATTTGAGATGTGTTTAGCAATGATTTTGAACTTTTGAAGCATATTGCCTTTGAAAAGCAAGTTGTTAGCGTCTAATACTTCTTGTATGCTCTAGGATGCCATTTAGGGGTAAATTTTTAATTTTTGATATCATGTTTGCTCTTGTGGTACACATTATCTTGTTGGTTGAAAATGCTTTGAGAGTTGATTCTATAATTCTACACTTGCACTTACGCACACTAGCATTCAATTTGTGGGGTAGATGCTTAGTTGATTATTGTCTTGGTTTATCCTAATTGAGCTAGTATGCTTTGAAAGCTTTCATTCTTGATAAAATGACCTTGCAAAGAAAAGAAAAAAAGCACTCACCAAAGGTGAGGGAAAAAAAAAAAAACTGCATTCTTTCAACATGTCAACTGATTAAAAAGGAAGACAAGGAAAGAATGTAAGATGTATGATTAGTTTGAGTTCGTAGCCTAGCCATTCTGAGTCATTACGCCCTTAGGAGTGTCTTTACAGTTAACGCCTTAAGACCATCTGGTTTGGGAGTCATTGGCTCAGCGCTTGTTACATAAGGTGATTAGAGAGCTTAAGGAACTTGAACATTGCACATAGTCATACATTTAAAAAAAAAAAAAAATGAAATCATTAAAAAAAAAAATTAATTGTTTGATTGATTAACAAGGTTCATTCAATGTCTTGAGGATTGGTACTATATCTGTATGCTAGTTTGAGGGTAAGGCTATACCACTACTTTGATTTGCTAGGACAGTAACACATTTTGATGCCGGTTCACTTAAAAAGGATGATAGAATTAATTCAATTTGCATGATTAACTTGCTTGATGTGTGGAGGACCATTTTTGCTTACATGATGTTGAAATGTTGAGAATAGCTTAGAAATGGCATAAATTTGCATACTTGAAGTTGTTTACTTTCAACACTTGTTTGATATGTGTCGTTGCTTCTCAAGTAAGAAAAAGTTGTTGATGTTTGTGGGTACCATTTCTGAAAACCCTCACAAGACTTCACTTGTCCACTAGGGGTAACCTAGGGGTTTTAAAAGGCTTGTTGCATATGCTAAATGCAACCGTGATCCCTACGAAAGTGGTGTTATCATTATTTGCTTTATTAGTTCATGGTTGTATATATGTTTATTTCATTCTTGTATACTATAGTTCATTGCTAGGGACTAGCAATATCTAAGTTTGGGGGCGTGATCAGTGCTTAAATGTTACACATTTCAGCACCTAAACTAGGGTATTTTAGTCATTGCATCTATCTTATTTTCATGTTTTAGTTCTAATTTATGTTTTTGTCAATTTCAGGTCAATAAGGTTCAAACGGACTAATTTTGGTTCATTGAAGCCTTTTTGGAGTCAAGTAAAGACATTCAGTAAAAGTTCAGAAAATGGCAAAAAGAGGTCGCAGCCCATTGCTCGTATAGTGTGTTTATTCTTCAAGAGCGGTCAATCTCGGCCTTTGATGATGTTCCCAAAGATGAAGAAGCAAACCAATTAGCTCAGGGCCAAAATGGAGCTAAATAAGGCTTAAATGAAATTTCCTACTCTGGGGGATCGATCCCCCACTATTCACAAGAACTAAAAATGCCCTTGGGGGATCGATCCCCAAGGTTGTGGGATCAATCCCCCAGTACCTGGCAGTATTACGGGATTTTCTTATTTTGGGCTTATTTTTGTAACTTATGGGCTTTAATAGGGTTTGTTACTTAAAGCCCAGTGAGCCATTAGTTTAGGGTTAGTTTTTATTTTATTTAAGGAATTTTTAATTTATTAATTAAAGGAGGATTTTAGGTTTTATTTTTCTATATTGTATTCTTATATTCTCTCTAGAAAACGCGAAAAAGGAAAACGAAGAACAGGCTAGGGCTTGGAAGAAGAGCTCAAAGATGATGAATCCAAGGATGGAGATTATTCTGTCTTCAACTCCATCAACCATGAGTGGCTAATTCTCCTACTAAGGGTTGGATAAACCCTAAGCATGTAACCTATTCTCTCTCTCTTTTCATACTTTTTGGGGATTTAATTGTATTTGATGTATAGTCTTGAATAATATAATTTACTTCTTTCATTTGATTATCTATGTCAATATCATGTTGTCTTATGTGTGTTTGATTGGTAATCAAGTTCTACACTTGAATTATTTGTTAATTGATTCTTGTGATGGCTATACATGGTGTTAATTGGTTATATTTGTGTTTTGATTTGATGGAATTTGCTTCTACTAGATGGATTGCACTACACAGTTAGTTTAATTAGGTTAAGTTCTTATTGAATTTAGTTAATTTCAGGCTTAATTAGTTTAATTGCATTTTCGTTCTTAGGTAAGTAGACAATCCATGCTTGTGTTTAATTTCTATGCTTGTTGCCACAAGTTACATTATCCTCCAGATTAATGTGAGTTGAAATTGCTAATTGAATTGATGGACCATGCTTTGAATTGGTGAATTGATTTACACTTAGTTAATTGTCACTAGGTAAACGATTCAAGCTTTAAATTGATGTTTCATACTTTTCATTGCAATTGTTAGCCACATTTAGATTATACATTTTATTTCCCCAATTAGTTAAAAATTAGTGAGTTAGGGAATGTGCTTAGTGGTGAATCCTACACCCTAAGTCTCTTTCCAATCTTTTAAACTCTACTCTTTATTTGCATCATTTAGTTTAAAATTAGATAATCACAAAACCAAACCTTTTTAGCAATCACATAAGCACTAAAGTAGAATTCAATTATGAAAAACCTATAATTGTTTAGATCTCTTGGGACGATCCCTGCTCACTTCATACTCCATTGTATAAGTGTTTAGTGGTTTTATAAATTTTAAAATATGGTGCCCACTTGACATTATTTTTAAACCCAAAGTGTTGTGCATTATTTTGTGCACACGCTTGGTCGCACCAAAGTTCAAAGAAGATCATACTTGCAAAGCCTGTGAACAAGGAAAACAGACAATGGTTTGATTCCCTTCCAAGGAAGTGAACACTTGAAGAGCACTTGACCTAATTCATATGGATCTCCGTGGCCCTACCAGAACTATAAGCATTGGTGGAAGTAAGTACTTCATGCTTCTTATTGATTATTTTAGTAGAATGGTGTGGGTTTACTTTCTTTAAAAAAAATCAGAAGCCATTACACACTTCATAAAGTATGTCAACCTTGCTGAAAATGAAAAATGATGCACTGAGTTCCCCATGAGAGAGTTTGAAAGTTATTGTGATGTTAAGGGAATTATGAAGGAATTCTTTGTTGTGGCCACACCTTAGCAAAATGGTGTTGTAGAAAGGAAAAACAGAATTGTACAAGAAATGGGGAGAACAATGCTGCTTGAAAAAGGCCTTGCAAAAGGTTTTTGGGCTGAAGCTATAAATATAACTGTCTACATAACCAACAGAGTGCTTCTCAGGCCAAATTCAACCAAAACACCATTTGAGTTGTGGTATGGAAGGCTTACAATAACTTACTACTTCAAGCTTTTTGGCAACAAATGTTACATTTTGAATCACATTGATAACCTTAGAACGTTTGATTTAAAGGCTGATGAAGGTATCATTTTGGGGTGCTCAATCAAGAGCAAGGCCTTTAGGTGTTACAACCTAAGAATCTCTTAAATGGTTGAGTCAATTCATGTGAAGTTTGGTGAAAATCCTCAATCCACAGTCTCTAAAGATGAAGGTTTGTCTGTAGGGTTAAATGAAGCAAGCTCCTCATAATTAGAACCTGTTGCCCACAGAGAAACCACATTTCCTTTTCTATAGAAGCAACTACAACCTAAAAACATCATTGGAAGTCCAAAGGAAGACATTCAAACTAGGGCTAAGAAAAGGCTTAGTGAACTTGAACAAGATGATGATGAAGAATACAATCACTTTGCCATGCTCTCTTCAATTGAACCAAAGTCTTACAATGAAGCCAAAAATGATGAAGATTGGTGATAAGTGTTGAATATTGCATATTTAAGCACCCTTAATTGCATGGTTTGGTTTATTTAACATGTTAATAAAGTATGTTTTACAGGTTTTGTTGTATATTGTCTATTTTCAGGGCTTATCTCCAAAATGGAATAAGAATGGGCTTTTACGTGGTTTTAATGAATAAGAAGCGTGGCGAGCGATGGAAACCAGCAAAGTAAACCCAAGTCCAAGAGCATGTTCAGCCTGAGAAGGAAGTCAGACCAGGAAGCTAAGTAAGAAAGAAGAAATTCAACCTTGAAAAATAGGTTTAGCATCCAGACGCAACTTCCAAGACCATTCTTGGCATCCAGACGCCCTCTATAATCGAGGCTGACAATTGCAAATTGAAGCTAAAATAAAATTCCAGTAGCCGAGCAAAATAGCGTCTAGACGCCCAGCTCTACGTCCAGATGCCAAGTGCCAGAGGCCGTGTACACTAACACCCAGCGCGCGCCTGATAGCTAGCTTGACAAGCTGCGTCTGGACGCCCATCCTGGCATCCAGATGCCAACCTGCAAGTTAATGTTAAATTTGAATTTTTTTAGTTATTTTTCTCTCTTCTCCAACTTGAATGCACGAGTTTTGGGGGAATTTTGGCTGATTCTGGCCAGAAGGGGCTATATACACCTCTCTATATTGTAATATATATTATCTATCATATCATATTCAAAATTGTATACTTTTAGAGAGATAAAAGTGAGGAATAGCTAGGGTTCTTGAGTATTCTTGAGATGGGCTGCTATAAAGCTGAAGATGGAGGCTTACTCTTCAACTATTGGAGCTTCAACCACCACCACGATGAGCTAAATCTCCTTTTACGTGATTGAGGTAGCCTTGACCGATTTAAGCATGTATATCTTTGTATTTTAATTTGAGAAAACATTATTGTATGTAACAGATTTCATGAAAAAGATGAAAGTTCATATTGAAATTGGTGTTTTTGCATTACATTGATGTATGATCTGTACTGAATTCATATATATAAGTATGTTTGCTATGCAATTCTTATCTTAGAACCATGTTTACATACTTGTACCCTTGATATTCTTAAAGTGACATTAAGAATGGATTTCATGAAATGGTTTTATAGGCATGTCATGTAGGATTTTAGATAAATTATGCCAAGGGAAGATGGACCATGATACACCTTAGATTTATTTAGTTAGGTAGATGGTTCATGCCAACCAAAGATAGTTTATGCTAGATGAATTACTTTCATGTGCTAAACTTACAAAATTCAAGACCTTAATAGGACATGCCTAGGGAAGATGGCTCATACCACACCCTAGTTTAGGTAGATGAGCCATTCCAACCGCAGATGGGTTATACTTAGTCTTTATTTGTATGATTTTCAAAATTGTTGTAGGTGTTGTATGCTTCTATACTTTATCGTTACATATAATTGCTTTCCCTAAGTTAAATGCATCGTAACATGTTTATGAGGTCTCGGTGAACTCAATTCCCTAGCCTCATCTATTTGTTTAATTCAATCTTTGAATTTAATTTAATTTTGTTTAAAGTTTATACTAAGTGATAAATAAACAAACCAATCTTCAAAACAACTCGTGACATTCTACAAACTAGAAATTAATTTGTGAAATTTGATTGCCATAAGCTTAGCAATCTTCATGGATCGATACCTCTACTTAGCCAATTTCTACGTGAATTTGTGCTATAGTCGGTGGTTTATTATTGATGCACCGCTTACGTGGTACATTAATTGGTTAACTATAATGAAGGAAAAAATGGATCAAATTCAAAAGAATGACACTTGGACACTTGTACCAAGGCCAGAGAACAAAAATGTCATTGGTACTAAATAGATTTTTAGGAATAAGATGAATGAAAAAGGTGCGGTGATCAGAAACAAGGCTAAATTGGTGTGTAAAGGGTATGCTCATTAAGCTGGAATTGACTATGATTAAACTTTTGCTCCAGTGGCCAGAATGGAATCCAGTAGAATGCTTCTATCCTTTGCTTGTCACAAACAAGTCAAGGTTTATCAAATGGATATGAAATCTGCTTTTCTGAATAGAGATCTCAATGAAGAAGTTTACTTGGAACAACCTAAGGGCTTTGAAGATTCACAATCTCCTTCATCTGTGTATAAGCTAAGTAAGGCCTTATATGGTCTTAAACAAGCCCCTGGAGCCTGGTATGAGAAGTTGCATAACTTCTTGGTGGAACAAGGTTTTCACAAAGGCAAGGTTGTTAATAACTTGTATGTCAGAACACATCAAGATCAATTCCTAATTCTACAGATTTATGTTGATGACATCATGTTCTGTGGCTCAGATTTTTTCTTCAACCTTTGAATTTGCAAACCTTACGAAGACAAGGTTTGAAACGTCCATGCTTAACATTCTAAGGTGCTTTTTAAGCCTTCAAATTCATCAATCTTTCACTGGTATTTTCATTTATTAAGAGAAATATGTCACTAAATTGTTCAGAAAGTTCAATATGATTGAAAGTAAGATTGTATCCACACCTCTATGCGCTAACACAAAGCTTACACTTGAGTGTACCATAGAGAGTGTTATTTTCACTCATTACAGGTCAATCATTGGTAGTTTGTTGTATCTCATAGCTTCCAGACTTGACATTTTGTATTCTATGAGCTTAGTGGCAAGACTTCAAAGCAATCCAAGGGCTTCTCGCCTACAAGCTGCCAAAAGAATCCTCAGATATATCAAAGGAACTCTCTCTTATGGTATTCACTATCTTCATTCACCATCCTTGCCTAATACAGCTTATTCTGATACAAATTGGGGTGGTTCTCTACCTGATAGGAAGAGTACTTTAGGCTATTGTTACCTTCTTAGCTTAAACATAGTCTCTTGGCTAAG